AAAAAAAAAAAAAAAAAAAAATTAGCGAGCGAACGCTGATTTTTCGCAAATGTCACACAAGTATATAATGTCCCTGGCGTTCAACGAACGTTCGATTCGTTCGTCCGTACGGTACGTAAAAGCAATCGTACCGAACGCAGATAATCTTTCGATTCTCGTTCTCAAGCTCGTGTCCGAGAGCTAGAAAAACGCGTCAACTTCGAATCGTGGCGCGAACCCGCCACTATGTCTAGTGAAATTTCGCAGTATCATTCGTTCGGCTGACGACAATTAAGTAACACCAGTTAACTTAATCGTCAGCTTAAGCTGTTCTCAAACAACCCCCGCCTTCGGCTCCAAAAAGTGCGTGGATGGGTCGTAATATCCGGCTAGATAGTAAGTGTCGTTGTTGTCATAGATGGTGAGGTATCGATGCGGCTCTCTCCCCATTTTAATCTTGTATTCGTCAAGCGGCAGCACCTCGCACTTGTGAGAGATCGTTTGCACATCGTTCTCGTCCATGTGAGGGGACTCGAACAGAGCACCCTGGAGACATTCGTACGAACGAGGTTAATACACGCTAGAAAAGGTTTGATTTTTTTACTTATGCTCGAAGCATAATCTCCGTGTGTAGAAAATTACTATAACGAAGGGTATGAGTGACTAAAAGTGAAAATAAAAATCGAGGTTTCTACGTGGATAAGTGAGAGACGGCGGGTCGTGTTATAAGGTTTTCTCTGTTAGCTTTTTGTCCTTCTTTGATTATTTCTTCTCCTGTTTATATTTGAAATTGAATTTCTTCGTTGAATTGCTTGATGATTTTTTTTTTCTTTTTCTTTTATTTTTTGTAATTGGTTTAAGGTATTGGGAGAACGAAGTATGGACGACAGTGTGTTAAAAATCTTGGACTTCTGTTGGAGAATTCTTTGTGAAGACGAAGATGTTTTTCCTTAAAATACGTTAGTTTTATGATTGCATATTTTCTTCATTAGAAATGACTTTACTTTAATTAAACAATGTCTGTATTGTATCTTTTTCTTTTTTTCTATATTTCCAAAACAAAAGCGTCAAAAATATGCAACATCAATTCCAATTACTCTGAATAATTACTGCAGAATAATTGTAAATAAAAAAAAAAGTTTTTCAATTTTTTTTAAATATTTAAATCTTAACTTTTTGCTGTTTCTGATTTCTTTAGAAATCTGAAAAAGTTGTGAAACACTTATTGAAGTCTCTTGCAATCGGCTCTTAAATCAAATACTCGAAGGAATAATTAACAAATATAGAAATTAACCTCGGGGGAAGAAATATGACAGAAATGAAATTTGACAAGAAATGACAAAATTCTGCCTGCGGAGAATCGAACTAAAAATACTTGGAAATATTTTAAAACTTTTCAGAATTCCTTTCGCGTGTAAATTGAACGCAAAAGATCTTAGGGTGACGTTAATTATGCATTAGCCAGCGATTAATTATACTACGTTAGTTGCGAAGTTATCTATTACCTAGTACTAGCATCGAAAGCGTCAAAGAATCTTCATAAATCGTATTCTTACCGGGTATTTCAATTTCGGACAACCGACAGTCTCCTCGGGGTGATAGAACCACTTCACCTTGACGATCATATTGGAATTCGAAGTTTCCCACATGGATTCGATTCGTCCGATGTAAGGTCTGTCTGGTCTGCCAGTGGACAAAAACACCGCGCTATCGCCGATTTCAATTGTTTCGTTGCCACGTTTAATGGCCCGGAAGAATTGTTTCTTGGCCCTTCCTTTGGCACCGGGTCTTTTGTAACCTTTCCCAGACCAATCCCATAATTGTCTCGCTGGCAAGAATGCTGCCATTTTACTCCGGCTTTCCACCAACTCCTGTCGTTCCCGCGTTTTCGATTTCCTGTTTCTCCTCGATTTTCTATTCCTCGATTCGCGAGTGGGTATCGGGGCCGCTTTTGGGATTTCTTCCGAGCCCTCTTCCGAGACTTCTTCCGATGCCTCTTCCGAGACTTCTTCCGTGACTTCTTCCGAAACTTCTTCTGAGACTTCTTCTGGTACTTCTTCCGAGCCTTCTACGACTTCTTCCGTAAGCTCTCCCGAGATATCTCCCGAGATCTCTCCCGAGGCTTCTTCCGAACCTTCTTCCGAAGCGTTCTCTGAAGCTCCTTCTTGGGTCTCCTCTTGCGCTGTCGGTTGTTTTTCAACTTCTTCCTCCTCCTCCTCCTCCTCCTCTTCTTCTTCTTCTTCCTCTTCTTCTTTAGCCACTATTTCCTTGGGTAATTCTTCCTCGCTCTTTTGACTACTAGAGCTTTCCCCACTGCTAAAAGGCATTTGAGAATATTCGTATTAAGATTGTAAGTTGATGGGAAAGTATGCTACATTGCTGTGTGAGAGAGACGTTTGTAAATTTTCTTGTGAAAAGTTAGGAGCTTTTACTTTTGTTAATAATCGATCCATTCGAGCCACGGAAATTAAACTAATAACAATTTTCTTCGATGATAGATGATACTTTTCAAAACCAAGAACTTTTGAATGAATCTCATAATTGTGATAATTTGGAAGATACCAGAAGCTAACTACAGAACGAGAATTTAAAATAAAATTTGAATATGTCGCGACTGTGTCATATTTTTCTTAATTTATATAATAAATTTTCTAGCCGCGCTTACGCGGCGAAAAAATAGAGAAAAGTTTAACTGAAAAAAGAACAAACCTAATCTGCGAACTTCCTTCGCTAGTGCTGCTATGATGATTATGCTTGTGCTTGTGTTTACGATGTTTCCTGTGCTTATGCTTCCTGTGTTCTTCACACTTGCGCCTTTTATGCTTCTTCTTTCCTTCCGTCTCTTGCAACCTCTTCAATTTGTCTCTTTTTTTCTTCTTCAATCGTTTCCTCTCGCGATAATCTTCCAGGTCTTTTGCGTCAATTTCCTCCGGTTTGTGTTGTTCAAGCGACTGTGCGTCGTTGCATGCAGACGTTGATGCATAACAGTTTGCTGCGGATGCAACCTCAGCCAACGTGTTATTTGTGTTACTCATGTTAGTTGAAGTAGAAGGTTGATTATTACTGTACGAAGCACGTTTATCTTCCAATAACGTCGACACTGATATTTGTCGTCGACGTTTCCCCAAAGACAACAGAGGATTTGGATCGTATTCTGTAATTTAATGAAGAATTTGATGTTACAGATGATGTAAAAATTACTAAATATATATATATATATATTTAGTAATATATATATATATACTATAGAAGGAGTAAATATATATACGATAGAATTTGATTCAGCTCCGTGGAAGCCCATCGAAGATTGAAATCTATTATATATGACCGAAGTTCCTAATGGAATTTTCCCAACGATTCTCTCGACTACGTATTTCTCGTTCAAATATAAGTGGATTTAATCGGCAGAAGTTCGGTTAATCTAGTACCAACTGGGAAGCTTCGTTCGGATAAATTGAGTTTCGTTGTGTCGTCGTTTAGAGGCACGATTTCGAAAGTGGAGGATTCAATGTGTAACGGTCTTTTAAACGACAGGCGAATAATTCAAAGCATCCACCATGCAATGGATTCATCTTGGTATTTATTCTATGTCCGTTAAATTGAAGGTTTTTGAAATTCTAACTTCTCCTTAACACAAATTTTATGTCATTTTAATATCGTGAGTATTGAAAGTGTCAAGTATTGCTTAACCATAATAGAAAGAGAGTCGCTATAAAATAATATAAAAATAAAATAATATAAAATAATATAAAATAATATAACATCGACTAATGTAAAAATTGTAATTTCAAAAGCAGGTATTCCGAAAGTATTCGATATTTGAACAATTCTCCACGTCAATGCAAAAACTACAACCGAGTTGATGTTCTATATATGTAAAAACAGTCAATATTGATTGAAACCACCTATTTTTAAATAATATCCAATTTCTAATCTCGAAAGTATTCTATGAAATACTCACCGATAACTTCAGAAACATCAAAACCAAATATTTCAGAAATATCTTCCCATATTTCAGCATCTATATCGGAAGACGTACGGTTACTCCTGTCGCGCACCATTATTGTGTTGAGCGGATTTCGTGTCGGAAAGTGTCGCCGCTTTTATACAACAACAAACCTAACGCACACCATTATTGGGCATAGATTTGAAGAGAAGCGCCTAGCGGTTCGTTCGGCACGGATTTAAAGGCTCGCGGTCGCGTCGGCTCGGCACTCGTCGACGTGAATCTTCGGGAGTGACTACGTTACACGAGCAGTTACAATTCTTATCTCCAATAATCGCCGACCCTAGTGTAACATTATTCGACACAAAATTCGAAGAAACGGAGATGGCGACTCGTCGACGTACAATTTCCGAAAAAAAAAATCACTGGCACACGAGCTAAGGTTAAATCTTCTCATCTTCGATACAGTGCTATCTACCTCGAAGAGGGAAACTGGATGGAGACTCGTCGACAACCCCTAGCAGTTGAACCCTCCCAATGTGGTTCAATATGGTCGTTATCTACGTTGAAGAGGAAAGGAGACTCACCAACAACGGGGTAATCAGGCTGCAGCAACCTGATGTCGTCGAGAGCAATTCGGCCGCTATCCCCGTCATCGAACTCCACGCTGACGAATTTCTCGTCGAGCTCGGGGTCCGGCTCCGAGGGTTCGACCGATGTACCTGGGTACAAGCAGCGGTATTGTTGACTCCAATAGGCACACAATCTTGTACCAGGCGGAAGCTCTTTTGTCGACGTGGGACAGACCTCAACAATCTGCGAACAACGAAAATTGAAAATTGAAAATTGAAAACGTAAAAAATGTGGGCGAGTCTGCGCGAACGAAATAGTGAAATGAATTGGAGACGTTGAAATTTACCGCATCTCGTAGGATTTCCTCCCTGGAGTGAATGTGAGGCCTGTTACCCCGTTCGCCGTCTAACGTTATAGCGTAAACGTCAGGTGCCTGAACTGCGCTGAGCCTTCCGGCGTAAAATAAGCCGCCCATCGCAGTTAAGACTCGTAATTGGTCTATGGCCAAGTACGCTGACGTTAGCTTACATTTGTTAACGGCAGCCTCTGTTTTCTCCGCACGGGCAGCTTTGGCGCATTCCTTACATTCAAGGGATTTGCGCCGTTTCGAGTCCCTTTTGTCGCTCGACTTGCTACGCCGTGACGGGGACGAAGAAGTAGATTTTCTCTTCTTTTTTTTGGACTTTTCGTGCTTCGTTCGGTCTATTTCCTTTTCGCTCAATGCGGTTGTTTCTATTGGTGTGTCCTGGCGAATGAAGAAATAAACAAAGAAATGTGTAGTAGCGGAATTATTGTTGTGCTTCTTTTTGCAGATATAACGAAGGATCGAAGATTGTATTATTTGGAAACAAACGGGGGGGTTAAACCTTGGCTATTTTTCTGAATTCTCACCAAAGATTGAAAAGTTCTGTTAAGAATGTACAAAATGCGATTTTTGATGCGTTTAAAGGAACGATTACTCATTGTAATTTATTTCGACTAACCGTTGAAAATTAATGTTAAAAATTGAATTGATAACGTTCACAATTTTATAATGATATTGCAGTATCTATTATTTTCTATTGTTAAAGCAATAAAAAGACTGTAATAACAGTTGAAAAGATTGAAAAGTTCTATCAAGAATGTACAAAATGCAATTTTTGTTGCGTTTAAAGGAACGATTACTCATTGTAATTTATTTCGACTAACCGTTGAAAATTAATGTTAAAAATTGAATTGATAACGTTCACAATTTTATAATGATATTGCAGTATCTATTATTTTCTATTGTTAAAGCAATAAAAAGACTGTAATAACAGTTGAAAAGATTGAAAAGTTCTATCAAGAATGTACAAAATGCAATTTTTGTTGCGTTTAAAGGAACGATTACTCATTGTAATTTATTTCGACTAACCGTTGAAAATTAATGTTAAAAATTGAATTGATAACGTTCACAATTTTATAATGATATTGCAGTATCTATTCTTTTCTATTGTTAAAGCAATAAAAAGACTGTAATAACAGTTGAAAAGATTGAAAAGTTCTATCAAGAATGTACAAAATGCGATTTTCGTTGCGTGTAAAGGAACGATTACTCATTGTAATTTATGTTTCGACTAACCGTTGAAAATTGAATTGATAACGTTCACAATTTTATAATGATATTGCAGTATCTATTCTTTTCTATTGTTAAAGCAATAAAAAAAACTGTAATAACAGTTGAAAAGATTGAAAAGTTCTATCAAGAATGTACAAAATGCGATTTTTGTTGCGTTTAAAGGAACGATTACTCATTGTAATTTATGTTTCAACTAACCGTTGAAAATTTCAACTAACCGTTAAAAATTGAATTGATAATGTTCACAATTTTATAATGATATTGCAATATCTATTCTTTTCTACTGTTAAAGCAATAAAAGAAATGTAATGACAGTTTGTCAGATATAATTTAAAGTGTAAAAAATTGGAAGAATAGATCTGAAGAAGATTTTCATGTAACGTTATCTGATATGACTTTTGAAACAAGAAATAAAATATATAAAGTATGACACATAAATGAAAGAAAGTATTATTTCAAAATGAAAACATTTACTACCTATTATTATCTTCCTGGAACACAAGAATGAGATCACGTTATAACACAATCCTTTCACCAACTTTATATCTTTTAGTCTATCAGTATCAATAACTTTCTGTTTGGCTATATACACATAATTTGGATTAGGATGTGAGTTTCAAAACTTTATGAAAATCGCTAAAGAAATAGACAAAAAAATTTGTTTCAACATATTGCAACATACTCTCATTTTCAATATTTCATCTACGTATTTTCGTATATTAATTCTATTATGGACACGCTTTTGCAACTTTCAATCTTCGATAAATACATGAAATCCACATCTTAATAATAATATATAATATATATCACAATATATTACATATATTTCCTCGATTTGCTAATAATTTAATTCGTATACTCAAACGGAAAGACGATTGAGAATTTCTCATCAGCACAAGAAAATTTATCAAACTATTTCTAGATATTTATGACTCAGTCCCGTTTTTTCATGCCGGCAAGAAATCCTAACTGTTTACCGAGTCCTAACGAGAAGTTACTGTGGATTATTTGTTGTGAATATTAGTCGCTAACTTGCGAGCTTGTTTTGATCCGTGTCCTCAAGAAACAGTTGACGTCGATCCTTCGATCGACATCCTTTTTTTTCTAGTATATGAGTGAAAGTGGAACGGAACAATTAACCGCTTGATATTTGAAAACGATTAGCAAATTTATTAAAAACAGTCTCTCGTAGGCTATCGAATTAACAGAAATTTGTCGCTATTATTCTTAATAGCAAGTTTTTGCTACCGTATTAAATAGTAAATTGTTGCTATCGCTCCTAACAAGATTTGTTCTATCGAAGAGATTGTTAAACTAGAGTAATTAGAAGAGAGAGGAAGAGAGAGAGAGAAAGAGAGAGAGAGAGAGAAAGAGAGACAGAAATAAACTTGTACAGTTCGCTCGTTAATAAATTTATCCTCTCTCGAAACCCTATCATACAAAACTTGAATTATGCATTGCATAAGTATGAGATTGCACATGTATATATATTACATATATATTAAATTATATGTAATATTTTGTAATATTCTATATAATATATATAATATATTACAATATATGTAATATAATATATATTATAATATACATGTAATATATAGTTCACAATATTATAAGATGCTATGTAAAATCACACAAACAGAAGTTTTTTTTTTTTTTTATTTGTATATACATGTAGCTATTGCTTACTTCAAGATACGTTATTTCACGCAGAATTATTCTTCAAAATTTTAAAACATTCATAAAATAACAATATATACACAATTGAAAATAAAATATCTCTCACGAACTTTTGCAATCATCCAGTGTTTAGCAAACATACCTCTTACTGACAATAATACAAATACAAGACACATCATATTTTTTACAAGCAATCAATCAAGCATGAAACTTTACTTTTACCTTATTTGTATTTAATGCCATCCTTTATTTTCTACAACATTTGAGCGTTATTTTCGAGAAAAATTTATACAAACTTTTTGTTGCTTTTTGTATTATTATATTTTCATTTCCTATTTCAAGCATGTTTCCGGCTTTTCAATGCTGTAAAATCGTTATACTTCAGCTCGTAGATCACGGCAGTGCATCAATTTATTGATTCTTCATTATTTTTGTGGTATACCATTGTTCACGTCATTTTTATTGAAATAAATTTAATATCTATTTTTCCAAGGTGTCCTGTTGCCAACCAAACTATAATGTTACCACCGCTCATTTGTTGCCACTGTAGCGTGATTTCTTCCTTTTTAAATCATAAAAATAATAATATAACCAGGCTGAACTGCCTAATTTAAAACTTTTTTCCGTCTAAAAAAAATAACCCTCTTCTATTTTTTTTACGCCGTACAGTTCGTTTACAAATTCTGATCTTGCTCTCGTGATTTCTGATGGTTTTATTAACATCTCGCGTCCTCGTCTCATAAATCTTTGTTGTCCATCGAATCTTCTTAACACTAACTCTCATTTCAGTCTCTGTTACCATTTTCCTCGCTTAAACAGTTAGTGTTCAATTGATCGCATGCTTTAAAATTGCACACTTTTTTTTTCGGTCGTTGTTTTCGAACACTCACAAGGATGTTTTTTAACTTCCAATATTTTCTATTTCTTTCTAATATTTGGAAATTGTTTTTATAACAGAATAATTTTTATCCTTTCACGAATTTATAAAATTTTCAATTAAGATAATTTTGGCATTGTTTATTTTCTTGTAAGACGTTCAAGTTTCCTTTAAATATGAACAAACTATCCTCAACATTTTACGATTAATATCAACCCGTTCGATGAAGAAATTTTTCCTTTTAAAATGATAATTCTGCGTGAGAGAACGTATCTCGATGTAAACAATAACCATAGGAAAAATTCTTTCTTATAATGTAAGTTTGTGTGAGTTTACATAGTGTCGTGTAGTATTGTCATGGAGCGTATAATATATAATTAGAAATATATATATATAAGTTTATAATAAAATTTTTCTATTTAAATTACTTTCACTGGTTCCTCCACAGTGGTTGCTGGCAACATGTTCTCAGTGACGCTGGTAGTTTCATCATCCTCCCAGGTTTTCACCTTTGCTTCAGCCTTCAGTTTCGGCTTCATCTTACTTTGCAATTTCATTTCTTGACATAATTTTGCCTTCTCCGCGATAATGGAACTGATCACGCTCTTATTGTGCATAGGAGTTTGCTTCGCGGATTTTGATTTCGACTTCGATTTCGATTTCGATTTCGATTTCGATCTCGATTTCGGCGGTTTGTGACTCTTGGAAGAGGATTTCATGGAAGATAACGCAGACTTGAACGGTAGTGGTGTATAACCAGTTTTTCCCACATACTGTTGAACATAGATAATATTATACCTCATGAGTGATAAAAGTGATAAAACTGTGTATTGAACTATAATGATTGTATACTAAAGGTTAAAATAAAAGATTTTGTAACTAAAATATAATGTAATTAATCTGTTATATATCAAAGCGAAAGGAAAAAGAAAAATTTATGTATCACATTTGATGCAATAAATATATAATATAATTAATCTTTCTTCTTTGTGTTGTATTATACTTTTGTGTTGTATTTTTTTTTTTTTTTTTTTTTTTTTTT